ATGATGGAGCTAAAAAAAAAAGAAAGCAATGGAATTGGGCATATTTAAAATCTCAGCATCAATCCAGTGAGATACTGGCGTTTTCTAGAGAATACAAACTGCCAGAAATTTCGGGAGAGAAAAACAATAAAATGTCGAATGATATGGACTTCCATGTTATGTTAAATTTATTTTTGAACTTATTTAATGAGAACAACTTAATTAAAAATGACTATTTCGAAAACAGAAATAGAGATAAAGATTTTTTTCAATTTTAATAGGAGTTTTAAATAATTAAATAAATCATAAGATTACACTTTAACAGCTAGAAAGATTGTGATGTACGTAAATATAATAGTATATTAAATTTATTTTTGAACTTATTTAATGAGAACAGCTTAATGAAAAATGAATATTTCAAAAAGAGAAATAGAGATAAAGATTTTTTAAATTTCCATGGAATTTTAAATAATTAAATCAATCCTAAGATTACACTTTAACAACTAGAAAGATTGTGATGTACGTAAATATAATAGTATATTAAAATATTCTATTAATGTACTAACCAAATATTAATTTATTCAGGGTTTAATCATCAACAAATAAATTAAATTCAAAATTGTCAATACAAAATAGAGCTCTTATGAGCCTCGTGGTGGCTGCCATCTTGTTTATTGCTTGTATCGAGCACCAAAATAGTTGCTGGCAGCAACCAGAAGTTATCTTAATTTTGAACAGAGGTACTGAGAGATCTGGCTATACACTGATATTTTGAATACGCCCATCATTTGGCTAGATGCGTGGGACAAGAAACAACACCTCACTGAGCAGGAAAATGCATGGTTTCTCAAAATTAACAGCAAGCCAACAAGCAATATCCGAGGCAACTGGAAAAAAATGAGACAAATTTTTTGCAAAAAAAATTGACAAAAACTGAAACCAACAATAACCAAAGTCAACAAAAACTGAGGTATTACTGTATTTATTAGATATGGCATTCATTCTATAGCTAGATGTCCTTCCTGATGCTAACCCTCCTCTTATCCAGTAAGAGGCCATTCCTACAAATGTATATCAAGGTTTCATTTTAAATCCACTGTTTTTCTTCAATTTAATAAATGTCTTAAGCAAGCTAAAAAGGAGAACCACCATGCTCAATGACATATATACAACATTACAGTAGAGCATCGATTATCTGACTCAATTGGGGACTGGGGTTGATCAGAAACTGAAAAAACAGATAACCAAAAAGTATGAAAAAATACATTATTAACATAGTATATTAGTATATCCCATGTAATTAGTATATTAGTATATCGCTGTTAACCTACTTTGCATTGAATTTTCATCAATGTTAAGCCTAACAAAATTTTTTTAATAATAATCATCGATACTATATCGTTAAAAATTAGAAAATTAAGCCTCGTTTAAATACTGGTCTCCCTTTCATGGTCGAGACAGTGTTGCCACCTAAAACATGCAAAGTTTAACAAAAATAATATTAAAGTAGCCAAGACATAGCCAAATATTGTAGCGCCACATCACTAGCGGACATTTGAATTTGCTGACTAGAACGCGGTTGGTTAACCGATGTGATGATTGATCGGGGGTCAGATAATTGATGCTGTACTGTATTTTCTAAAACAGGTTTGGCCCACTTTTAGTGGGGTGTGATTAACTTTTTCACGAGTCAAAAGAACTAATGATCTAACCCACATTTTTATTCTTCCATAAAAGCTTAATAGCTACAAAATTATATTTCAGACATAAAAAATGAGAATTGTGTGTAAACTTTTTAGTTATTTATTTATTTAGAATCTTCCAAAAACCTTCTCTTTAATTGAACCATTATCATAATCATACTTTAATAGTAAATTATAGGCACTAAAATGTATAAAATCTAAGGTTATATCTAAATTAATAGTTCTGGAAGTAAAGGCTGGGTAATTATAACTAGTAATGAATCATGCTCCAGGCCAATTTTTTTCTTCGAGAACCTTCTAAATTAAGTAAATAAATANCGTATTTGCTTATTGTGTACTGGCACAATGAAGTGACGTTTTTCTCAACACTGGGCTAGTTGAATCTTTTATTTAGTTAGTTTTTTTTATGGACACTGCATATACAGTAGAAATCAGACTACACTTAGGTTTTTTAACATTTTCAATATCAATTTTTTATCACAATTTTTACTTTACAGGTTAAAAACAAAACCTTTTCTACATTTTATTACATAAACAAGATAAACTCTGCAGATTTTAAAAAACTAAAACTTACACATTTCAAAAGTCTTTTTTTGCCACCTTGTCGACTGATCCGACTGTATGTGCAGTGTCCATAAAAAAAAACTAACTAAATAAAAGATTCAACTAGCCCAGTGTTGAGAAAAACGTCACTTCATTGTGCCAGTACACAATAAGAAAATACAACACGGTTTCGACAACATCAATAATTATTAAATTTAATAAGAGATAGCACCTAGCACTTACTTATTGTACCAAATTATTTAATAGTTAATTGTTAATATAAAACTTAATTAGCCACATTAATTACGGTGCTAGTTTGGTTTAATATATTTAAAATTATATTCCTAACTGGCTTTATATATTGTCTTGTTTACACACACATTAGCATTACTTTCTTCTATTTTTCTAACAAAATTGAAGCCAAAAATGATGTCATTATCATTTTGCTTCTTTTCTAAAACTCCATAGCATAGAAAGTTGTTTTATATTAATTATAATAATATTCATAAACAATTTAATTCATTATTAAATAACTTTCAAGTTAAAAGACAATAGTTTAATTTTCACACATTTTCTAAAAAGTAATTGGATAAACAGAACAGAATTTCAGCATCCCATTGGATGGTTTGAGATTACAATCCATCATATCTTTACCATACAAGAAATCTCATCTTTGATTTAACAGGCATAATTAGCATTATTATTATTTTTAACAATACTTAATACAATAAATAAATAAAACCTACTTACTGGAGCCTCTAATCGATGTGAAGAAATACAAAAATAAACAACTTTGTAAAAACAAACGTTTTCCGAATACCTTCCGTGTCCTTCCTCAGGTAAAACGGCTGGATTCCTTACTTTAAAACACCGTTATGCAATTTTAAAAAGAACAAAATTTGAATGATGATTCGATTGTACGATGTCCACCGCGCATGCATTGTATCTGTCGTGTCCATTCATTCAGAATTGCATCATTCAGAATTGCATTTACTCTTCTCATACGTATATGATGCACTATTTTTACTATAACCGTTACATGTCCTCATGCATCCTTCTACACCCACTAAATCCTTAGTAATCATTATGTAATAAGGCTTGCCAAGCTATCGAAAGAGCCATTTCTTCTTGGGAGTTAATGCACATAGATGTAGTGTGCGCCTTATATATTTCTATCGCTTCTATCCATTTGAGGTGTTCCATGCGTTTTATTTTGACTATGGCTAGAAACGATAGAAATATATAAGGCGCACACTACATCTATGTGCATTAACTCCCAAGAAGAAATGGCTCTTTCGATAGCTTGGCAAGCCTTATTACATAATGATTACTAAGGATTCAGTGGGTGTAGAAGGATGCATGAGGACATGTAACGGTTATAGTAAAAATAGTGCATCATATACGTATGAGAAGAGTAAATGCGATTCTGAATGATGGGGACACGACAGATACAATGCATGCGCGGTGGACATCGTACAATCAAATCATCATTCAAATTTTGTTCTTTTTAAAATTGCATAACGGTGTTTTAAAGTAAGGAATCCAGCCGTTTTACCTGAGGAAGGACACGGAAGGTGTTCGGAAAACGTTTGTTTTTTCAAAGTTGTTTATTTTTGTATTTCTTCACATCGATTAGAGGCTCCAGTAAGTAGGTTTCATTTATTTATTATACACACCCCAATGTGCATGAAGAAGTTATAACACTTAACACAGTTTAAGAGGTTCAGTTTCAAATATTGTTTTTTCCCCCATTTCATTTATTTTATAATTACATTTTTTTACAATAAATTGCCAACAAAGATAAAATGAAAGAAAGAAAAAAAAAAAATGGAATGTTTGAGACAATATCTTATAAACTGTACATGGATTAAGTTACATCAGCTTTGGTGTGGAATATATGACAATGTAGATTATGTGACATTTTTTATTTTAATTTTAGCAATTTTCTATAGATTATATGCCAATGCACGATACACAGAAAATTACAGTAGCTGAAAACGTTTGTTTAATTTTAAATTATTTTCTGGACATTAAAGGTTTGATATTATTTGGATTTTCTGTCAGTTGTATATACATTTAAAACTAAGTATTCATGAATATTCAATAATATTAGTATTCAAATTCTTAAGTTTATTTCACTTTCAAACTGACATACTCTTTACAGAATCTTTATAATTCTTAAACAAAGAATGTCTACAAATGATGTGAGATTACAAAAATCTATTCATTAAAAGTAATACTACATAAAAAACCAAGTCTACAATGAACAATTTATATTTTTTTCACACATAAAAGTTCATTATATGCAAGCAAAAAAAATTTATTAATTTTACACCAAACATTCTACAAACATTATTTGATAATTACTATCCATAGACAATTCTTCAAATCATTAAGTGTTATGAACTTGGAAGAGAAAATCTGATTTTATGAAATCACACTGGTACTAATTAGCACTTTAGTCCTATCAATTTCCTCTATCTCTTTATCATTAATATAATAGCTTCATTATCATTGCAAACATATAGTGATACTACTGGTTACTTAAAACAAAGTAGATTTGCTTCTAGCAATGATGTAATAATTACAACTCCAACATGTCACAATAGATGTTATTTAGTCAGATTTTGCAAAGCAATCAATTATGTTAGAGCTTTGAATTATTCTTTAAAATGATTTAATTTGCTTTTTTTCTCTATTACTTTTTAGGAAATAAATTTTTATAATTTCTCACAGACATTCTGCATTATTATAAAAGAACAAAATAACACTTACATCAATTTCTAATTTTTCTATAATTAACTCTATTGTTGCTTCATCTACTGGATAAAGACCTAAAAAACAAACAAAAAAACAAATAACAGAGAATCTATACAAAAGTTATAAGTGTTTAATTATTTATACATAATTACAAACTTTCATATTGTTTATAAAATATATATTTGATATCACCAGTATTCATTAAATCATAAAAGCTGCAAAACTTTGCATGATCTTTACAATAAATAAATTGTTTTATGCACAGATTTATTGCAAATGATTGAAATATAACGTGTTTCATATCTAGCAGATTTTATATCAAAATTCTAAATCAAATGATCAAAATTGAATTTCTAATTTATATGTTAGTTATGTTAAGTAATATTTAATGATACTGCCAAATGTTAGTTATAATTACTAATATTTAATAATTATATTTAATGCTCATAAATTCTTGTATCTACATAAGAAATGGAAATTATTTTTTTCTTGATAATTTTTGCAAACCCAGAAAAAAAACACTAATTTAATATTAAAATAACTTTTAATTCTAATTAATTTTTATTAACCAATTTTTCAGTTAATGTTGAAATGTAAATTTAGCTTAAATAGGAATTTATATTTCATTTGTACACAGGAGTGTTTCTCAGCCTTTTTGTTTTATGGCATGCATGTAAATTTTATGATAGATTGCATGTCATAAAAGCTTCTATTTCTTTAGTATACAAATAAGTTTATTTTTCATTTAAAAAGTTTTAATACATTTCTATTAGTCGTAAATTCAAATCACAACATAATAAATTTTACAAAAATAAATAAAATAAAATCATAATGAATTCTTTTTATCAATCAGATGGTTGGGACTGAGGAATAAAAACTACTTTTTATTTTTATTTTAAAATTCAATGTAGAAAGACTTAGTCTCATTTCCTTTTTTATTAATTAAGCATTTTTCTCCTTTTTTTTAGTTTAATTTCATTTCATGCTAAGAAGTATGTTTCAAATAGGATGTAAAAAATTGTATAACATTATTACTGCTTATGAAATTTGTGAAAATTGTTTTAGTATTTTAATCCAGAAACTGCAGTATTACTCCTGTCAAAATTCATTTCCAGGAACTGATATTTGTAATTGTAAATTCTTCCTCTTTCAAAATGAGAACTAATACTGTAAGATTCTTCTTCAAATGGATCTCTCATCCACAAATAATTTTTCTACAAAAAACTGAACATAATTTTCAAATCTAGTTTTTAGTAGTTTCAATGTTTCACCAACCACATCAATTTCATCATTATGATTAACTTTAGTTTCTTAATTTTGTTATTAATATATTCTTAAAAATATTTTAACTGTTTTTTTAAATGTAAATAATTTATCATTAGAAATGAGTATCATCTTCTGGCCTTTAATACTGATGTTTAGGAATATTAACTTGTACTGGAACTAAAAAGAATTAATCAAAATTATCACCTTTTTAAATATTCCAGCAAATAATTTAATATCGTAAATTTTACGATATTAAATTATTTGCTGGAATATTTAAAAAGGTGATAATTTTGATTAATTCTTTTTAGTTCCAGTACAAGTTAATATTCCTAAACATCAGTATTAAAGGCCAGAAGATGATACTCATTTCTAATGATAAATTATTTACATTTAAAAAAACAGTTAAAATATTTTTAAGAATATATTAATAACAAAATTAAGAAACTAAAGTTAATCATAATGATGAAATTGATGTGGTTGGTGAAACATTGAAACTACTAAAAACTAGATTTGAAAATTATGTTCAGTTTTTTGTAGAAAAATTATTTGTGGATGAGAGATCCATTTGAAGAAGAATCTTACAGTATTAGTTCTCATTTTGAAAGAGGAAGAATTTACAATTACAAATATCAGTTCCTGGAAATGAATTTTGACAGGAGTAATACTGCAGTTTTTGGATTAAAATACTAAAACAATTTTCACAAATTTCATAAGCAGTAATAATGTTATACAATTTTTTACATCCTATTTGAAACATACTTCTTAGCATGAAATGAAATTAAACTAAAAAAAAGGAGAAAAATGCTTAATTAATAAAAAAGGAAATGAGACTAAGTCTTTCTACATTGAATTTTAAAATAAAAATAAAAAGTAGTTTTTATTCCTCAGTCCCAACCATCTGATTGATAAAAAGAATTCATTATGATTTTATTTTATTTATTTTTGTAAAATTTATTATGTTGTGATTTGAATTTACGACTAATAGAAATGTATTGAAACTTTTTAAATGAAAAATAAACTTATTTGTATACTAAAGAAATAGAAGCTTTTATGACATGCAATCTATCATAAAATTTACATGCATGCCATAAAACAAAAAGGCTGAGAAACACTCCTGTGTACAAATGAAATATAAATTCCTATTTAAGCTAAATTTACATTTCAACATTAACTGAAAAATTGGTTAATAAAAATTAATTAGAATTAAAAGTTATTTTAATATTAAATTAGTGTTTTTTTTCTGGGTTTGCAAAAATTATCAAGAAAAAAATAATTTCCATTTCTTATGTAGATACAAGAATTTATGAGCATTAAATATAATTATTAAATATTAGTAATTATAACTAACATTTGGCAGTATCATTAAATATTACTTAACATAACTAACATATAAATTAGAAATTCAATTTTGATCATTTGATTTAGAATTTTGATATAAAATCTGCTAGATATGAAACACGTTATATTTCAATCATTTGCAATAAATCTGTGCATAAAACAATTTATTTATTGTAAAGATCATGCAAAGTTTTGCAGCTTTTATGATTTAATGAATACTGGTGATATCAAATATATATTTTATAAACAATATGAAAGTTTGTAATTATGTATAAATAATTAAACACTTATAACTTTTGTATAGATTCTCTGTTATTTGTTTTTTTGTTTGTTTTTTAGGTCTTTATCCAGTAGATGAAGCAACAATAGAGTTANGTTGGTTTTGTCAGTAAACTGGCAGGCACTGATTGGCGCTAACCTTTAAGTGTTAAACTTTGCTTGCCATCTGAATGCACATCCGCTTTCAATCCCCATTGTATTCCAAAAGCTTTAACATTCCATCAGACATTCATTTACACCTGAAGAACTCGGAGGAGTTTGAAAATGTTAGTTGTGAATTTTTCTTTTATTTGTTTTTTGGTCGATCATCGGTTCATAGAGTACATTATCAACCTACATTAAATGATTAAATGAAAATGTACAAGATCTTTTTGAAATTATGATTATGTACTAATTACTTACCACAGTTTTCTCTTTCTTCATTTAATATTTTGAGCCACTGTACATCTAAATCATCTAAGTCATAGCGACAAACACCTTCAGCATCAGTTACTGCAACACTCATTGTATGCCATTCATTTGAGAATTTATCAGGAGTACATTTTATATATTTCTTGGGACTGAAAAATTAATTTTAACAAATGGTTGTTATAAGATTTTTAAAAATAATATCTCTAAAAATAATGTTGTTAGAATTTCATATTATAGGTAAAAATAATTATATCATAATGATATTTAGACTTGAATATAGAATAATGTTGAAATCAAAAAGTTTTTATAAATTCATAAACTAAAAAATTTATAAATCATTAAATTACTAAACATTTATTATATCATCAAATATACTATATTACTTGAAAGAGAATACAGTAGCCTTTCATTGTATCACTCATTCAGATAGATATATTGTGCTTTCTTTTGTCTTCCACATATAAGTGCTTAGCCAATTTTTTAAAAATTGGTTGCCATCGAATTTCTACTGGCAAAGAAATATTACCTTATTCCAATCACTGACCTTGAAACTACAATTGTATAAAATACAATCCACAAAAAATAAAGTCAGCAAGGAGATTCAAAGCTGACAAAACAGAAAGATAGATAAATTAGTTATATAATTCATTTGGTTTGACATGCACAATATAACAAGGGGCTATTGTATTCCTATCATATTTATATTTTTGTAAATTGATTTTATATCACTCAAATGCATTATAATTGCTTTCTGTGTCCATCCTGCAGGTACCTATAGCATCCATGTCATGCATGGATGCTATAGGTGCCTGCAGAGTGTCCTAACATTATCACCATTCTCTTCAATTTTCCACATACAGTGATACCTTGGTTTTTGTCGATAATCCGTCTGAAAACAATCAGCGAAATCCGAAACCGACAAAAACCATGGCAATCATTTCCATACGAATCAATGTAAATCCAATTACAGTAGAGCATCGATTATCCGACTGAATTGGGGACTCAGGTTGGTCGGATAACTGAAAAAACTGGATAACCGAAAAGAATGAAAAAAAAATACATTATTAGTATAGTATATTAGTATATCGCTATTATTAATTAACTTTGCATTGAATTTTCATTGATGTTAAGCCTAACAATTTTTTTTTTTTAAATAATAAACGTCGCTATTGTATCGTTAAAAATTATTTTTAAGTTATTTTACTGCTCACAAAACAAACAACCACTCATAATTAGAAAATTAAGTCTTGTTTAAATACTGGGCTCCCTTCAATGATTGAGCTGGTGTTGCCAGCTAAAACACGCAAAAATTTAACAAAAATAATATTAAAGTAACCAAGACATAGTCAAATATTGTAGTGCCACATCACTAGTGGACATTTAAATTTTGCTGACTAGAACGGTCGGTTAACCGATGTGACGGTTAATTGGGGTTCGGATAATCGATGCTCTACTGTAATTCATTCTAGACACTCCAAAATACATACCAAAATGTATTTCATAGAGAATAAATTTAGTGTTTAATACTAAAAACAATAAGAAATTAAAATAAATATAAAGGACTGATGTAAATAATAAATGAACATTCAACATGGCATTTCCCATGATGGAGCTAAAAAAAAAAGAAAGCAATGGAATTGGGCATATTTAAAATCTCAGCATCAATCCAGTGAGATACTGGCGTTTTCTAGAGAATACAAACTGCCAGAAATTTCGGGAGAGAAAAACAATAAAATGTCGAATGATGTGGACTTCCATGTTACGTTAAATTTATTTTTGAACTTATTTAATGAGAACAACTTAATTAAAAATGACTATTTCGAAAACAGAAATAGAGATAAAGATTTTTTTCAATTTTAATAGGAGTTTTAAATAATTAAATAAATCATAAGATTACACTTTAACAGCTAGAAAGATTGTGATGTACGTAAATATAATAGTATATTAAAATATTCTATTAATGTACTAACCAAATATTAATTTATTCAGGGTTTAATCATCAACAAATAAATTAAATTCAAAATTGTCAATACAAAATAGAGCTCTTATGAGCCTCGTGGTGGCTGCCATCTTGTTTATTGCTTGTATCGAGCACCAAAATAGTTGCTGGCAGCAACCAGAAGTTATCTTAATTTTGAACAGAGGTACTGAGAGATCTGGCTATACACTGATATTTTGAATACGCCCATCATTTGGCTAGATGCGTGGGACAAGAAACAACACCTCACTGAGCAGGAAAATGCATGGTTTCTCAAAATTAACAGCAAGCCAACAAGCAATATCCGAGGCAACTGGAAAAAAATGAGACAAATTTTTTGCAAAAAAAATTGACAAAAACTGAAACCAACAATAACCAAAGTCAACAAAAACTGAGGTATTACTGTATTTATTAGATATGGCATTCATTCTATAGCTAGATGTCCTTCCTGATGCTAACCCTCCTCTTATCCAGTAAGAGGCCATTCCTACAAATGTATATCAAGGTTTCATTTTAAATCCACTGTTTTTCTTCAATTTAATAAATGTCTTAAGCAAGCTAAAAAGGAGAACCACCATGCTCAATGACATATATACAACATTACAGTAGAGCATCAATTATCTGACTCAATTGGGGACTGGGGTTGATCAGAAACTGAAAAAACAGATAACCAAAAAGTATGAAAAAATACATTATTAACATAGTATATTAGTATATCCCATGTAATTAGTATATTAGTATATCGCTGTTAACCTACTTTGCATTGAATTTTCATCAATGTTAAGCCTAACAAAATTTTTTTAATAATAACCATCGATACTATATCGTTAAAAATTAGAAAATTAAGCCTCGTTTAAATACTGGTCTCCCTTTCATGGTCGAGACAGTGTTGCCACCTAAAACATGCAAAGTTTAACAAAAATAATATTAAAGTAGCCAAGACATAGCCAAATATTGTAGCGCCACATCACTAACGGACATTTGAATTTGCTGACTAGAACGCGGTTGGTTAACCGATGTGATGATTGATCGGGGGTCAGATAATTGATGCTGTACTGTATTTTCTAAAACAGGTTTGGCCCACTTTTAGTTGGGGTGTGATTAACTTTTTCACGAGTCAAAAGAACTAATGATCTAACCCACATTTTTATTCTTCCATAAAAGCTTAATAGCTACAAAATTATATTTCAGACATAAAAAATGAGAATTGTGTGTAAACTTTTTAGTTATTTATTTATTTAGAATCTTCCAAAAACCTTCTCTTTAATTGAACCATTATCATAATCATACTTTAATAGTAAATTATAGGCACTAAAATGTATAAAATCTAAGGTTATATCTAAATTAATAGTTCTGGAAGTAAAGGCTGGGTAATTATAACTAGTAATGAATCATGCTCCAGGCCAATTTTTTTCTTCGAGAACCTTCTAAATTAAGTAAATAAATATTAATTTAATTTTAATTATTAAATTTAATAACAAATGGCACCTTACACCTACCTCTAAGCCAAATTACTTTAATTAATAGAGTAATTTGGCTTAAAGGTTGGTATTATGTGTCATCTATTATTAATTTAATTAAGTGTTACAACTAAGTGCTACAAGTGCTCACAAAGTCTTACAACTAATATCTCCAAAATGAAATGTATTGGCCTTAATATACAGAGTCAATCCCAATTTTGGAATCCTTGATTTTTGAAAAAATTGGGACCTGGATATAAATTGACCTTTTATTATTAATTTTATTTGAATACAAAAAATTAGTAATTTGCATTAAAAAATTTGAAAAGCTATTTAAACAATACTTCTTCACTTTCATCTTTATCAGAACTTTCATTACCATCAGCATATGCTCTTCAGCCTTCTTGAACAATTCATCATCCTCTGTTCCATCCAACTTGTTGATAACAAAACTCCTTATAATTGTGTTGTCACTAACAATTGGTCATAAGTCTACTGTTGTTCTAACTTTTACAATATGTGGAATTTTTATTACTTTTTGTGTGATTGATTATGAAAATTAGTCACCTTCAATTCCATTTTTTTTTTCAAAATTTTTTAGTTAAAGAGAATATTTTTTTTGTGAATATTTACAAATACCTGGGAATCAATCAGAGTAAATTAATTTTTAATTGCTTTCTTAGTCATTGTTACAAACTTCATTTAAATCATATCTAGAAATCAAAAATTTTGCTAAAAGGGTTTGTTGTATAGAAAGAAATATAATATAGATTTCTAATTTATATAAGTGACAAAGTGTAACTTATTGCTTCTTTTTTTGTGTTGATATCAATAAAAATGAAATTAATAAAAGTTATAGAGCAAAATTAAGATAATGTCCTATGCACCATGATATGGAAAGTATGCTGAACAGCATATATATCACACCTACAGAAATAAGCTTTCTTGCATATTTCATGTGTATTCCAGAAAGTGTACTTGCAGTTTTACAACTATCAAACACAAAAATGAAATCAAAACTTTGTGTTTCATTTTTGTTTGTCTTTGAATTATTATTACTTTGTTTTTATAACTATTTAAAACATTTTTTTTTTATAAAATCAAAAACATAAATTTATGTATTTGACATGATTATAATTACAATAGGAATTTACACTTTACAACAGAATAAATTTTTCAGCAACCTTCTCTTGATTCGTAGAGACTCCTAAGAGTAAAATAAAGAAATTATCAAAATAAAGTTTCCATAGAAGTTACAAAAACTGACTGATTCTGTTGAATATGATAAAAAAACAATTGAAAAATTGATTATTCACAATCATGCTAGACATTTAATTCCTGTATATAATCTACAGCTGCAGCATGACAGGTCCTAACTTGGATGGTAATCAACACAACAAATTTTAGTGTCAGTTTAAATGCATACAATGTTATCGAAATCAATGAAAATTTTAATTGGATTCAAATATAAATTGAGAGCAATTTTTTGCTCTTCAAAACTGAAAAAAACATTGATTAATACTCAGGCCAATACAACAATTTAATTGAAAGTTTTTCTATATTATGTCTGAAGGAAGCCTCTTAAATTAAGCTTTCCTGTCCCTAGAGATGAGATGGAATACAAAGACAATAGCAATTCTTTTCTATGTATTGGTTTGAGTTCAATGGACCATATCTTATAAGAAATCAGCTTTCATAGATTGATTGTAAA